ATTCCACATACTCCCATTCATGCTTAGTTGATATAAGAGATGGGATGAAATATTGACCGGCGGTGTAAGCCAAGCTGGAACAGCTTGGCTTAGGAGTGCTGACTACGACCCACGTGGACCCATGGGTGGGTAGGTTCTCCATCAGTCCAGCTCGTTCCTCTGGCAAAACTTAGCAAGAATGAGTGTATATTTACTCGAGGCGCTTTTATAGCCAATCCGTGGCGTTATTCACGTGCACATAAATATATATTATTTTGAGTTATTTCATTTTCGCATATCATTAGGAGTATTTAGAATAGCGATGTAATTTGCTTTTCCCTCCAAACATAGTGTTAGTTTTTTTAAAATGCCTCAGAGAAAAGAACCGTTTTCAAATTTTTCCATTCCAATACCTTTTTTTGATAAAATTCGTATTTTTTCCAACCGAATTATGTCTTCGTTTCACCACTTGACTCGCGTCTAGCAGCTGTTGAAATGATCGACTTCTAAGTCACTGTGTTACTCATGATATTGTTTTATATWTTTTTTATCGTTTTATATTGTTTTATCAACTGGCAAAGTTTCAGAAATTTGACACTTGCTTCCCATTTTCCGCGAACGTGTTAAAAGTGTGACGTCAAAGGCAAAAACGACTTCCGTGTCCATATAACGTAAAGCTGTATTATAAAGAATTTTTCTTTACTCATTTTTTTCCTGACAGGAGCTATTTGTCGTATATGAAAGAACTAATAGTTTTTAAAAGAGATTAAATTATTAATAATAGTTTTTGCTTTGTTATAGCGGTTTTATTGAGAAATACGTCTCAAGTTTAGCTCTATAAAAGTACTTCCGTCCAACTACTCTCAAAAAGCGAAAAATATTATTAAACATTTAACCTCCAACTCAAGCAATGAGAGCTTTGGACAACAAATCTTGCTTTAAAAAGAAGTAAGAAAAGTCTTTATGGAAGCGATTTTCGTTTTAGAAGTGATTTTCGTTTTGGAACCGGAAGTCGTTTTATCTTTACAAATGAGGTCACACTTTAATGACGTCACGCTTACCAAAATGAAAACACGAGGAAAACACGAGGCCTCGAGCATAAACTAGCGAATAAATGCATGAATCTTGTTGGATATTTAACCTTCGCCTTTTTGATTGGATMAAAGGTTTATTCCCTTGGTATAAGTATAAGTCTCAACGAATCACGGAACAATCTTGCTCTTGAATTTAAGACCACCTTTAAATCTCAGCTTAAGACATTTTTATTTGGGAAATCTTTTTATTTTTATCGTTCATATTTGTATGTATATATTTGCTTTTTACTTATATATATGTGTATTTATTATGATCTAATTTATTGTCTGTGATGTGCATTTGCATGAGCTGGTATGTAGGTAAAATTTCCACAATATAAAATAATAATAATAATAATAATAATAATAATAATAATAATAATGATAATAATAAATAAATATACGACATTTATCTATCGCAATGAAACAAAAAATTTTCTGCTTCATCTCGACCCGCGAGAAC